ATATGATTAAAGAGAAATGATTAATTATAAGTTGATTTTAATTTGTCAAGCCCGGGCAGAGTCCCAATATGTAGAACTTATAACCCAACAAGGGTTATACAGAGCTGGAAGAGGATAATCCACTAATAAAATGACTAGTAGAAGTTGTCTAAGGACTGCTCTTCTAAAACAACACAATCAGAAAGAGCTCTGTTGTATTGAGTACTGATAAGGCACCAGAGAAATATATCTTCACACGTAATTTAACTTCAAAAGCACACTTTGTATTACTATCAACACTGCTATAGTGTTATTCCCAATTGATAACTAAAAGAAATAAGCAATATCTGATTGATATTATTCCCAATAAGTCTTTATGACTATAAAACTAAAGTAAATTTCTCTTTATAATTGTAATAAAGGGCGTATTTAAGTGACCAGGTACTATTAAAATAAGTTTATAATGATAAACAAAATAATAATGGCGTAAATGATAAAGAAAAAAAAGGGAACAACAGTCCCAAAACCCTCTCAAAGTATATATAACAATGTACTAGAACTTTTACAATGGTCAACAGCCTCAAAACCAATCAAATCCGCCCAAAATTCCCTAAAAACCCTATGATGACGCAATGTAATGATTTTGTTACTAATAAATGATGTAATTTTCACAGCTAAAAGTGATCAATGACGCAATAATATGATGTACAGCACTTCTTATGATGAATACAGGTGATTTTTTCCTTGTAAACTAGCTGAAAACCAATTTTTGAGATTACGAATTTTTTCAGATGTGCTCCAATTTTTGATTACTAAAGTGCATCTTGTAGCCCACGTGTTACTGATCATTTCTGACACCTACATGACCTACTTCTGATGAGTGATGAGTAAGATATTGAGTTGTGAAGTTAAAGTTTTTTAGTGTTACATGTGACTTGTGACTGTAAATTCGAGATTCACACCAATTCTTTATTTGCCTTATAACTTTTTACACACACCTCCATTACTAATGATTTAAAGTTTGTACATTATGTAATCCACTCTTCTGCGTTGAATGAGCCATCTACCAACCTATTCTGACGTCATTTGACATATGTAATTAGCTGAAAACCTCCATTTTCCACGAATTTCACCCATTTTCTTCACTTTTCACAGCTACTACTCTCTTTTTCTTGCTCTTGTAATATGACATCATCATCTATAACCTTAAAAATCCCGAAAAATCCTCTTGGCAACCTTAAATTCCATCACTACCACTATTACACAACCAAACTACACGTGTACCTCTTGTTTACCAACTTCGAAAAAGTGCCTTTTCCCTAATAACTTCTGTTTCTACTTATCAACCTTGAAGATTAAAATTGTCATAGTATAATATAATGTTGTTCTTTCATATTCTAACCTCATAATACCCATAACTTTATTTTTACTAACCTAAAAACCATTTTCCAACCTTTATACTTATAATTTCGAATTTTTCTTATGTTTTTCTTTCTTTCTTTTTGTAATAAATTTGTAAGTAAACTATAATGATCTTAATATATAATGTGAAAATAAAAAATGATGTAATGTTGACCTAATGACCAATACATAAGCCTACAAGAGCTTCAATTGATCAAAAACCTCCATTTCGAATTTTCTTTCCTGCTGAATCCTGCTAATAAACTGGTAAACTGGTAATTGTGAATTTTTTAATTGATCCCATAAATTGATCACCACAACGTTCAGGTATCTTCAAGCCTTCTTCGACAGTGTCAGGGCTGTCGGTGGGGAATTCGAGGCCCGCGTCAATCGGTCGAGGAGGAAGGACGTCAAACGGGTGGGGTAAATCTATTAAAAGTCGAGGATGGTTGACACGTTGGGATGGAAGAAAAAGCATCGTAAGTGACCATTTTCTTTGTACACACTCTACCAAAGCTCCGAATGACATACCTTCATCAAGTTCCTCGTGATCCAGATGAATCACGTTAGGAGTGGGAGTGGGAGTCAACACTTGACTTGCGGAGGGCAAATCAGGTGCACTGAAGCTACCTTGCCCAAAAACGTTGGGCTGCATCATCATCGAGTTGATGTTGACCAGTGGTGAATGATATTGAGGAGGGCCACCGTATCCGTACACCATTCGGCCGTGACCATGCCCATGCGCGAGCGCTTTGGCGACAGCGGCATCAGTCACACTGTGACTCCAAGGAAGAGTCGAGTTGGGGCTCAACGGAGCACATAGGGCGGGTTGTCGAACGTTTGGCTTTGGAGGGCTGGTCGGGCGTACAGGGAACGGCATTGCATGCCTCTTGCTTGGGCTGCCAAAGGATCTAATTCGGTCACCTGGACTAACAGGCCTAAAAACATTATATGAGCGGGATAAAATTCTACCAAGACGTTAAGAAGGACGCACACTGGGGTGTTTTGTGATTTACGGTGAGCCATTTTGTATTTCAACGTTTGAACAAGGCGAGACGTTGATGAAGTCCTGGATTCAAAGGGATTCAATGTGATGAGGTCAAAATAAGGAGAACGAAGGTGGCTATTTAAGCGGCGAGCTGAGGTCGGTAGGAAGAAATGGAAGGAGTTTGTGTCTATTGGATTGTTTGGTGATCCCTCGAGGCGTCTGTCACCATCATGGAACTCATAACACAAAAGATCTTCTTGAAATAGATCGATCGGATGGATCATATGTTTCAGAAGGATCGGATGGATCGGATGGATCTGTTGGATTGGTTGGATCGAATGGTGCCGATGGATCCAAAGAATTTGTCCAGTTCGATTGGTCAATGGGTGGTGGTTGAAGGGAGGAATGGGCTCGATGGATCGCCCACCGGGATCGGTTGGATTGGTGGAATGGTGGTGCTGGAAGGTGACAGGACACCTGATGTCCTAGGCCGCAGCTCGTTTTAGCATCCGCCGCTATTACAGGCCTGTATGGGCGGTATTTTGGCGCAAAGCTTATGTGCGAAAAAAAAAAAAATGGAGTGGACACGAATTTCCTGAAGAGCTGTACATCTTCTCACACTTATCGTGCATAAATTCTGATACAAACCCTTCCTTTTTCATCATCAAGGTTATTCTGGATTTCCAATGAGCTCTACAAGGAAGCGGGGCATCAACAGCAGCCCTAACTCCGACAATCGCTCTCAACATATTAATAAACAAGCCCGTCTATCGTATTCAAAAGAAAGCACCCAAATCGTGACCATTGGATCTGACGAGGAGAATTCCGATGAATCCAATGATTGTATAAAAGTCTCTACCGCATCAAGTAGCTCAAACCGATTTAAACTTACTAGTAGAATCAATTCCAACCCCGGTAACAAAACCTCGTGGGTGTGGAGATATTTCAAGGTTGAAGTTGTTGTCAATCCGATCACCCAAAACGAAGAGAAGAGGACTGTTTGCACCTTTGAAGTCGAGCCTGAAAAGCCCTGTGGAAGCCATTATAAGTTAGATACAACTCAGAGCACTAAATCAATGAGTCGACATCTTGCAAAGCACGGTCTTGATGAAAAGTCGCATATTGAAGAGGGAACTGTGGACATGAAGAAGTACCTCAAAACAGGTAAAATCACTCGAGTAAGTACCAAAAGCTTACTATTGACTTATCTTTCACCTCTGACACTTCGCTTATTCTCCATGATAGGCTGAGAAGCTTTCCACCTCAACCTTCCGGTCTGCCATCTTACGACTCGTTGTCAATCAAGAACTTCCATTTTCCATTGTCGAATCCGTGGAATTACGAAAAGCTTTCGAACTGGCCAATCCAACCATTGAGCCTCTATTCTTTGGTCATACTGTTTTGACCGATACTCTCAAGTCTCAATTTATCAAAGGCCGACGTTTACTTACTCATCTTCTGAAGGATGTTCCTTACATTAGCTTTACATGTGATGGCTGGAGTCAGCACAATAAATCCATTCTCAGAGTCACTGCTCACTGGGTTTCAAACGATTTCAACCTTTGTGAAGCAATTATCGGAATGAAAATCATCGAAGGGTCTCATAGTGGAGAGAATCTAAGTGATCATCTGATGGAAACTTTAAAAGATTACAACTTAGTCGATAAAATGTTTTGCCTCACTGCCGATAACGCCTCTGTCAATGCTGTCATGGGAAGAAAACTAGAAGAATCAGTTCCTCAATTTCAATCCGATCAACATCTTCTTGGCTGCATAGCCCATGTTATCAACTTGGTCGCTAGAGCAGGCCTTCACATGTTCTCAGAGAAGTTAGGCGACAAGACACCCTCTATACCTCCTGCACTCTCTGTTTGGCTCAATCGAGATACACCTCGAATTACCAGCGCTCTCAGTCAACTTATTGGTTTCACTAATCATGTTGAAGCTTCTCCGCAGCGTGTGGAGTCCTTCGCACTCCTGGTTAGAGGTATGCTGCCACCGAAGGATCATGTTCGACTGATCCGTCGGGTTGATACTCGCTGGAACTCTGACTTTGAAGCACATCAAAGATCATACCGACTCAAAGCTGCAATTGACTATTGGACTAAGAACGATCCCGAATATACAAAGTTTGCTCTCACTGAGAGTGAATGGGATTTAGTTTGTCATCTTGTTGAATTTCTTTCACCTCTCAATGTCGCAACTGGATTACTATCTGGATCGAAATACCCAACATTCTCTGAAGCTGCACCTGTAGATCAATGGATTTTGGAGAAACTCGATAAGGTTTGTTTCCAAAGAACTTCACAAAGCTTAGAATATTCTTTGACATTTTGATAATTTGATTTGCACAGGCCTGGGAACAAAATGCAAATGAACCTCTTTGAGAGGCTATCGGTCCTATGAAGATTAAGCTTGAGCAGTACCACATTGTGCACTCCAGAAGCCCGTCTATCTCTTTGCTAACATCCTCGATCCTCGAAGTAAGCTTCTTGAGCTATCAACAAAAACTATTCAAATGGCTGGCCTGTACGACCGAGAGGAGTTGAGAACTAAATTTATCAGGGAGGCACAAAAGTTTCAGCTCCAACCGCCCAATCCAGCAAATGATAACCCCGAGCCTGAGGAAAAACCAGAAGAAGATGGGCCACGTCGATTTATTACACGCAAAAAGGATCTCACAGTCAGCGAAGAAGTCGAATTGTATCTTTCCAGTGGACGTGAAGATAAAGACCGCCTACCTTTGGACTATTGGAGAATTAATGCTGATAAATACCCGGTTCTTGCGCGCATGGCTGCTGCCTACTTGGCTATTCCTGCTACAAGTGTACCCTCTGAGCGATCTTTTTCTGCCGGTGGGAGAGTGTGGACAGACGAACGAGCCACTATGGATCCAAAGAACTTTGAGGCATCAATTTGCCTCAAAAGCTGGGACAATTTGTTGAATGTTTGGTAGTATTGTTTGCTCGCCTTCCCAAAAATTGTTCTGCTCAAAGTTTTCCTTCTAGTATCTTTACGCTGTTTTTTTACTTGTTTGCTATAGTTTTTTTGTTTTTTTTTCCTTTTTGATTATTTTTGTTTATTCTCTATCACTTTGTCTCTGAAAACACGCTAAAACACGCCAGTTATTGCCTATAATATCACTTATTTCAATGATTTCTAGCCCCTCGGGCTATCGGGCCGGGCCGGCCCGATAGCGAAATGCAAAGCGTGTTTGGGCTACAAGTGTTTTTGGTCATTTCCGGGCTGCCCCGGGCCCGGCCCGGCCCGCGGGCTGCCCGAGCAGAATCGGGCCGGGTGCCGGCCTTAGCGAGCATGAGTGCACCCCGATGGAGCCTGCTCTGCGGGGCCATCACCCCTGAATTACCAGGCTCACACAGTATGTAAATTGATCAGCATTGCTTCTTTTATAGCCCAAGGAAAGATTTGTGAAAGATTCTGGAGACTGGAGCACATGAAGATTGATTTATTCCCTGATTTCACTCATAAGACATTGAAAAAATGATTTGATAAAGAGGATATCAATGAAAACCTCAACATTGTCCATAGTAATTCACCAAGCCAAGCTGGAAATCAAGTCATGTGATGTCATCCTGTGCTCCACTTCAGTCTCAGACACTCAGATGTGAAATCTTATTCACACAAGCTGAGTGATTGATAGTTTGATCTATGCAAGATATCAACACTTGATAGAATCAGATTACTCAAAGATCAAGCGAGAAAGATCATTGAACATAACAGTCACCTGATAATTGACACATATGAGAGTCAAGAATGATGTTGAAATGAACTTTGACATACTTGATTATGGTCGGATGACTAAACATTAAACTCCCTGCTTGAAGTGATACATTGTCTTTCCATCATGTATGATAAATTTAAAAAGAAATGTAACATGCTTGAGTCTCCCTGATCCCCAAAAGAATCATAGCCACGCGAGATAACTAGTACTGATGATACAAATACATCCACCGTAACAAATACTGCTCACTACCATAACACATCAAACTCTTAAAATGACAAAATAACATACAAGGCGAAAAAGAAAGAAGGACTGATCATACACGACTTTCAAAAAATGAAGGATTTGTGTTTTCGGTTCTTCGCCTTCCCACAACTAATTGGCCAATGTTAAGGACACGCAAAAGGAATTTGAACAGCCACGAGCATCGCTATACGCGAAAAAAATAAAGGAGGACTGCTTCTTGATTCATAAGACCGCATTCGGCATTTTTCGCATAGCCTAGAAAGTAAGATGAAGACAAACACGTCAGGGGTACGTTGCAATTATGTGATGAAGGTCCATGCTGTACTTACTTGACGGACACCCAGGTCGAAGAGGATCTCTATAGAATTGGGATATTTTGGATCTCAGCCATCATTATATGAACGAGTCTATTCAAAACAGACAAGAACTCTAGACAAACCTTCGGAGCCACCAAGGACGGCATCAAATTTGTACGAGCGTTGAAACATTTCAACGAATCGACCCATACCGGTAGCCGAAATTCCTCGGCCTCCAAAGATCCTGAGTAAAACAAGTCGATTAGAGACATGGAGCGTGAAAGAACTAAACAGCATGATGCGACAAAGACTCACTGGACTGCTTCGTCGGCAACTTCATGGGCAACCCGAGTTGAATATGCTTTCAAAAGACCAATCTGACCGGCTAATAGATCGGCTTGTTCGGCATAGGACATCTGGTGTAAAGTAGCGAATGAGTAGGTAAAATTAAAACAATCAGTCAATGAGCCAAGCTTACCTTGTTCATCTGATATGTCACATGTTCTAACCAGGACTGAGTGGCTTCGCACTTTGCAAACATCTGCGCGAACTTTTGTCTGCAGCAAAACGTCATACCAAGAAGTTAACAGT